CTTAGTGCTTAGCAATCAGGATTATCCCAAAGCTCTCTAATGCTTATTTTCGACTTTCTCGGCCAATAATACAAACAAAAATCATGCCTTCTCATCCAGTTGTGCCATGTTTCGCCTCTTTCAACTATGCCACCGGGGAAGTGGTTGAGTTTATGCCTGGCGATCGGTCACCTCCCTCCGACGAGGCTCACAACAGCAACGGCGACGAGTCACCCAGCCTGGGGAGCCGCCAGTTTCCGGGTCAATCGGCAGCCAGCTCAAGGCATCGCAGCAGCCGCAGTAGATCCGGGCAGCGAAGGAGTCGCCGAAGACGACATCGAATGCTTCCGGTCTATCGTTACTTTAAGCCGCGAACTTTGCAATTTACAGCTGCTTCTGTGCCGTCCTCTTTAAAGTCAACAGCACATGAACGAAATGGACCATCCATGATCAACTTGGCTCCAGGCACTGTAATGGCCTCAGATGCTCACCGCACCCTTGCGAGCTCTAGTTTGCGGTCTTGTGACCCATCCAACGACTCTTCTGGGCCGGATCCGGATCATAAAGACTCCCAACCAGTAGAGCTTGCTGCTGGTCGTCCTTTGGCTTCACGGCCAAGTGCCGCAGCGGCCACCCCAATGGCTGTAAAAGCTGCCTCTATGGCACGGTTATACTCTTCGCCGCAGTCTATGCCCCGAAAACCCCCTTCCACAACCCTCGAGTTGCTCCAGCCTCGACCAGGACTTTCGTCAACGAAGAGTAGTCTTAGTCGGGATCCCTTTTCCCAATCACGAGCCCTTAGAAAGATCGATCTTCGCTCACCCCTCTATTATTCAGCAGCTTCTGTACCGGCTTTGGCTACTCCTGGAGTGTTCAGGGATGAGGTAAGCAGCATATAGGATATCATCTAAGCTCACAATAGAGTACCAACATTGCACAGCACTTCCAGTAGCATTGGCTGCAGCGAAGCTGCTTCACGAATACATCTGACGCCTTCGACTTTAATAAGGCTTGAGCTCATTGGTAGTTTGCACTTATCGTCGTTACGATATAAGTCGTTTTTGAGATTGTCACTAATTCATAAATAAGAACATTTTCATCCCAGGCTAGTGGGTCACGGGGCAACTATGAGATCCAAAATAAGACATATCTCACCCAAATCACATTCATAGGGGGAGTGTCAATTAAATAAACTCACCTCCGGTATCGAATCCCATCAGGGAGGCTGATGAGACCTAGGCAAGATCTAAACTGTAGTCCACTGTGGATGAGGCACTTTTCTGGGAGGCAAGGAATGTGAAATTCAAAGGTATTGTGAGACTTATTCCTTTAATTGTGAGAATAGTTAACTATCCGTCGTTAAATCACTTATCTTCTGTCATAATCTATAGTATTCAACAAAATTGAGCTCTCTTAGATCTGATTTCGTATCAGACATAGCCCTGGGCATTTACGAGGTCAAACTTCTATAGTAAAATGATCGATGCTGAAAAGAATGAATTTGATCCATTCCAGGTCGCTTAAAGTGATTCAAGAACTGATATTTTTATTTCTTTACAATAAGACTAATTTGCCTCAATACGCCGTCTAATTTCACTCAGCCTTGCCTTCCAAATGCATTCTTATCCAAGCTGGACTGTATGCTCAACCCTGCCATAGCAACACATCAGAACCATAAACGAAGTTAGCCACTGCCCTGTACACGTGGTGGCAACACATACACGCTTCCGCTGGGCAACAGGACAGATGTGACTTTCAAAGCAAGTCAGGCCATACACGGTCCCATTTTATAGGATAATTGTTGATAAGGCAAATTTTTATTTGTCAATGCAATCGACAACGATTCTTGTTTTAGATGAGAGTATATTTCGTGACTTTCGACAATTCTTCACTCTATATGAAATGCATTTACTCTATTTCGTTTACTGTGATAAGGGGAGTGGCAATTGAATTTTCCCAAAATTATGTGAAGAGACCTTATGCTTCCAGTGAATTTCACATATCATTGCTTCTCTAAAGAATATTCTTATCCAGTGTGGACTATAGCTTCTGTCTCGTCAAGGCCTCATCAGCATTCTCAGCATTACAATGTCATGGCTTAAGTCTCATTGGGGGTGCTGATGAGACTTAGGCGAGATCGAAATTGTAGTCCAGCATGGATGAGAATACCGTCTGGGAAATCAAGGCCATGTGAAATTCAATAGAAACATTAGGTCTACTCATATCATTGTGCGAAAACTCAACTACTAGTCCCCTTATACGAACTAGGGTGAATACATCTCATATATATGATCTACTGATAGTATTGAAAACCTAATTACTAAAAACGAAACATTCTTCACTATGTTTTAAATTTCGTTAGTGGTGCCCCTGACAAACTTGGGCGAAGTCGAAACCACGGTCCATCCTGGTTTAGGGCACTCTAGAAAAATTCAAAGATCAATCATCAAATAACACTATGCGACTTTGAGTTGCTTAGTTTTAATTTTAAAAATGACTGATAATGTCCAAAAGTAGATTTCTCTAAACTGCTTACAAGTAATTTCTCCATATATAAGAACTCCAGTCGCTCTAGGTCAGGTGATGAAAGACTGATAATTAAATTTTCCCAAATGTATATGAGTATGCACCACGCTTGCATTTAATTTCACCCAGTCTTGCCTTCCAAAAGCTATTCGCATCAACGCAAGATTGGACTGAAGTTTCGGTCTTGCCAAGGTCTCATCACCACTTCAACACGAAGCAAATTAAGGTAGTACAATGAAGGAAGCAAGGCTAAGTAAAATTAAGTGTAAACGTGAGGCGTACTCATATACTTGTTGGAAAATTCAATTGAGTCCTTCATCAGCTTATGCAGCCTACTGTGACAAGAGCTCTTATTAGAGATTTACTTATATTTTCGCAGCCTACTTGATATGGATATATTTGGTCTTTATCCTGACTGTTTTATTATATAATGCTTAAGTTCGAGGGACAGGATGAATAGCTTACAAAGATAGTTATATTGTTGAGGAGACTTTCATTACATAGGGAAGTGTATGATGAAGGGATTCTAAAGTTAATCTCACCAGAGGATGACGGCTGATCCCCGCTGTACTACAGACGTTTTACCTCAATACAATGTTCAGGTTGACGCAGTCCATGAGAAAACATCCCTTATTCTAGTGAAAGCCTTATGAAAACATTAGGAGAGACTTTTACAAGAATAAGTTATAGCTCTGACGATGTCCATCATATGATGGACAAAAGCTTAGCCCATTTTCACTAGGAACGAGGGCGGATGTCTCGTGGACTGCATCAACCTAAACGTCCTATTAAAGCCAAACAGATGCACTACAAGAAGAGTAAACTGTCGTGTTCTGGTGAGATCGAGCTTCGAATCTCTTCATTATACACTTTCATACGCAATGAAGTCTCCTCAACTATATTTTCTTAGGAGATTGATCGAAACCAAGTTAGTCTTCTTATCTACAAATACATGAATGTACTAAAAGCCAAAATTCGATTTGATATTAAGTTATATCATAGACATGAGGAAGAAATTTTGTGCCTTTGGTTTGGTTTCACTCTCCTTTATCTATATGAAGTTGGTTTGACCTCATTTTTGCAACAAAGTCGTGTTCCTGGAAGGAACTTTGTACTGTGTACATTTGAGTGGGAAATGGAATCCACGATAATACGAAGTCAATGAGTAGATTCAAAGTAAGGAATAATCTTCAAGGTTGTTCGGGGATCTATCAACGAAGATAATATCGACTAGTCGCTAGAGTTTTGGTAAGTTATCCATTGGGGCTGCAGAAGCCAGAGTCCAGATAGACTATAAATCTCACTGGAAATATGTAGTGGAGACTCGAAACAGAATTCCAATTAGTCGATAGTATAGCGCCTGGCCATGAGACTTATCAGTAGATATTTGCACAGAGAAATGAGTAAATTGAAATCACATGGTTAGGTTTGATCGAAATGATTTAGAGTTTAGTTAGACCAGAAACTAAACAGTTGCAACCAAAAGGAAAAATATCTAGTTCCACACCAATGATTCTGAAGTCAAGTGACAAATTAACTATGGTATGGTAGACAAGTTTGACCAAGTTGGTCTAAGGAATACGATAGGAAAATGGTATAAAATGGAGGGGATGCTGAATATAAGATTGGGGACAGCAAGTGCAAGGATTAGGGCTTCGTAGTCTTCTCCTTGAAGGCTATCATACATTCTAGGCCAATTTTACGAATAATTCCTCTAGAATGACGGACAAGGTGGTTGAAACAGAGAAGATTCAGTGATGCAGGGAAAAGTTGGGTTTTGATAAATCTCTTGGATTGCTATTGTAGAGCCATTTGCATTTCAAATGAAAGTGTGTTATGAAGAGATTCGAAGGTTTATCCGACCAGAAGATTGTGGCGGATTCCTCTTAGACAGCTGTTGGTATCCCCTAGGAAATCTCTTTCGATTCCAAAATAAATGTGCTGAGCATTTGAGATTAAGCTGGTGAGCTTTTATGTTTGTTAGCCTAATTATCGTCGTAAGAATGAAGGCATGCTCTGATGATTTCATCGTACGACAGATGAAGGCTTAGCACGTTTTCACTTGAATGGAGGAAGATTGCCTAAGAGAAAAAATCAGCAAGAATGTTTCAGTAAAGCCAATCGACAGCTTTCCAAAATAGATCCGCCGTTGTCTTCTTGTTGGATCGACATTACAATCTGTTTATTACACATTTTCATCCTCGATGGGAGTGAGCTCAACAGCGAATGCAGTTCGTGTATTCTATAAGATTGATGCGGTTATGAAGGGATAGGCCGATATAAAATATTTGAAGGGGCAAATCCGGATCAAGAAGCCTTGTAGAAGGAAGGGAATACTGGAGATATTGATAACTACTCTTCAAAATGATCAGAAAAAACGAATAATAACATGAGGTGAGAGTGATGGTTGAGGTGATATTCCTGATGTGAGGAAAGGTCATAATTGCTCAACAGAAGATCGGTCAAGAAGACGGACTTAGCTGATTACTTTGACAAACTGTGGCTCAGTATCAAAAGTAACGCTACCCTCTGACAATGCCTGGTACTATATAAGTGAAACGGACTGATAAATGAAAGGAAAATGAGGATATATGCACAAGACACAACGGGACACGCTTCTCGAATTCTTCCTGTGAACACCACTAATTTGTAAAATAATAACTTATTCTCCTTAA